TATATATATATATATTGTAATCATATGTATTATATTAGCTTGTGACATGATACGCATATTCAGTATATATTCTGCCGTATTAATTATAAAAAATAATGTACTGCTTATAAATGATAAAATGTACTTTAACACAAATGTTTAACACTGCTACAGTTTGATTCATTAATATAAAGTATGTTTTAGCTGCTTAAGTCCATTAAGTTTGGCCCAATACAACAACGAATTATGCTCCCAAAAAGCGATATTGCAGTTAATGAGAACGTTATGATTGCTGCTTGGGGTCGAAAGGGCTTCCAAAAACCGCTACATAACAATTTGCAAAAATTGGACATGAAAATCATGCTTCCAACTACATGTCAGGCTCGTTATAACAAATCCAGTTTTACTATGAGAATTCACAAGAATGATTTTTGTACTTACATTAAGAACGGAATTGGACTGTGCAACGTATGTAAGGTTACATTATATGTGATAAAATGTTCAAATATTGCATAAATCATTTGATTGTATTATCGCACATCTTTTTATATTTAATATCTTCCGTTTAAATATGCATACTACATTTTGTAATTACTTTTGTTCAGTCATGATGATGCTTTAACATCATTTCTATTACAATATATATATTACACTCCTATCACTCGTTTCAAGATAATATTTTATATTATAATTAATTCAATTTTTGCAAATGTAATATTGAGTCTTAAAATAGAACTCTTATGTATCGCATTTCTCTCTTTATTATCTTCATTGCTTATAGCAATAGTATAAATGTCATATTTTTGAAATTTTAAATGATATTAATTTTAAGTTCAGTAGAACAAATAAAATATTATTAATTTCAATCTTATAAGGAACAAAAAGAGTACAATAATAATTGCCATCTTTTTTTGGTTACAGGGTGACAGCGGTAGTGGAGTAATCAGAAAGCGTGACAAAAGAATTGTTGGTTTAGTGTCTGGTGGAATATCATGCGCCAAGGGTTATCCTGATATATATACCAATGTTTATCGTTACGTTAATTGGATCAAAAAAAAAATATTGCTATAAAATTTTTTATATTGCATTCCTTTGTATTGTATATTTTTAATATTTAATAAAGTATTAGACAAATGTATACTACTAATAGATCTTTTCAAAAAAAAGAAAAGACATGGAAAAATATGCCAAATACATAAAAAAACGAATATTACATACTATAAGAATATTACATCCTTCCTAACACCAAAAATTTAATTAAATTAATTAACTAACTAAAAAAACTATTTAAAATTCTGGGAATATTATATACATTATAGCTAAGATAATATTTCTGACATTTAATTATATTATTATATTTATTATTCAATTTGTAACAATAAACCAATTTGCGGTATATAATTAAATTTGTCCTTAATAATATTATTGTTAAACAAAGGGCTTGAAAAGGGTTTTATTTTACCTTTTAAGAAAAAAAAGGAGAAATATATTTGAAAAAATTGCAGTATGCTGTATGTATATATACATGTAATATGTAAATTTTATGTAATAATATGATTGCGATCATCCCTACGATCTTAGCAATGAAATACAAACTGACATTCTACCGATATGATACGTAACACATGGTTATAGTCGTACTATACAGTCTAACTGTTTGGTATTTCAAGTTTCATTTTTTATTGACTGGCTTTAAGGAAACAAAGGGAAACGGAGACTATTTTTTAAGCTAAAGTTTAGAAATTTCAAACTTTAGCTTAAAAAAACTTTCAAGTTTCTTATATGATAATTTCAGTGAAGTGATCAATCAATAATTGCGAAACAACAGGAGCGGCTTCAAAAATTTCAAAACACATAATAAATGTATCAAAGAAGACTCATATTCTTTTAATTGATTCTGTACAAAGAAGAAACAAATTTTAAGAAGATAAAATAGTTGAAAATATATTGAAATATATATTCTTTAAACTTATTTTCTTTTTATTGAGTTGTCCGGAAAGTTCGTGCCGACTAACCTATATAATTTAATAAATGTATATTAAAATTTAAATTTTCTGCGTTTCAATTTTCCTTCAACATCGGCACGAACTTTCCGGACAACCCAATATAATTGAATTTCCATAATTTAATTATATTTTTTGATAAATACATTTCATTAGTTTTATTCCTTACTACAAAAATGTGCATAAATGTATTAATTACATTGAACATATGTGTATGTGTAAATTTTTCAATCCGTTCAGAGCACGTATTACGGAATTATTCGAAATGGAAATGTTCGGAATAAATTCCGATCAGAATTGTCAATTACGTATATAATATTCCTTAGATTTCTATTGTATTTTCTGAGGAAAAATTCCGATCGGAATTTATTTCCATAATACTATACACACTCAGTTGAAACATTTTTAAAAACATGTACGGCTCTGCACTAATATCACTTCTTTATTCGCTATCAAGCTACTAAACAGTTTTTCATTTAGAGTGAAAAGAAGAAAACGGTTATAAACATTACCCATCATAATATTCTCGTACAGATATTGCATTATTAATACACAGTGTATACACTTGCTGTAGAATGGCATTAAACTTAGGAAGTTTCGTCATACATAACCACTCCAACCGATAATAAAACAAGAAAAAGAGAAGCTTAGTTTCTTCACAGACACCAGAATGGATGTTTCAAAATATTCAGCGTATATAGGTATGCATTTTTTTCTTCGATTAAGATTTACATGTTAAACAGAAAGATAGCATGTTCATCAAGCGTATAATATTCACAAATAAATATTTCGAATTATTTTCTACGAAACAGTCCTGTTACAAAAATACTAGCTAAAATATGGGATAATGATACTTATTTAAAAAGAAATCTATATCTAGAAAAAAGGCTCCTATTATGAGATACCGAATTCATTTTAAATAAATGCTAGAAGTCTATGAGCAGAATTTAAAAAAATAATAAATAGATTATTTTGAAGGGAATGTAATAAGTTTTAAGATAACGTTATATAAAATTTAATTCAAATTACATTTTTTTTTAATTAAAGAAATGTAAAAAATAAGCAAATCACGAAGTAAAAAAATTGTGCTCCTAATTTGAGATGCCCCGAGAAAGTAAAATGCAAAGTATATCAGTATTGCAATTAAAAAACTTTATTTCTAAAATGCAAACAAACACAGCTAGCGTGCGTGAAAAATGAGCATGATATTATAGATTATACTCAGAACGTCTTTAGGCAGTTGGAATCAAGCATCGCAGAAATGGGCATTCGACGTTCATTCCGATTGTTCTTTTTATGATTGTACAATAACATTTACTCTTCAGCAATGATTTTCACTATAATATAGGAACATGGATTACTTTATATTAGAAATATCCTAGGTATCTTATATTATGATTTCCATGTCTTATAGTTTTACAATCATCAAATCTAACTTCTGTAATTAAACAATTCAACATGTCCCGTATTTTTCTATTAGTACAACCTTACTCTACCACTACATGAAGAATTTATTGCCAAATATTTATTAAATAATAAACAAGATTTAAAGGCTCTCAATGAACTTCTGAAGACATCTAAATTCTAGAATCTTTTTACAATAACTACAGGCATGATCTAATAGTGAATTTTCAATTAGACAGTTTTCAACCTAAGAGCAATAAATTCAAATAGAATAAATAGCGTTTATTAGTTTAGCAGAAA